GCATGGTGTGGTATGGTGTGGCGTGGTGTGGCATGGTGTGGTATGGTGTGGCGGGGTATGGTGTGGTGTAGCGGGGCATGCTGTGGTATGGCATGGCATGTCGTGGCGTGGCGTGATGTGGCATGTGGTGCGGCATGGCGTGAAGGGGGCTGGGCTGCCAGGGTCCCTGTGTTGCTGACCAGCAGCCCCGCGAGCCAGTCTGGAAGCTCAGTCCCCGAGTGGAGTCCAGTCCTGCTCTGGCTTCTGACTCCGACTTTCCTGTATCACTGGTCCAAGTGCCTGGCACTGGCTTCAGATCTTAGTTTTCTTTTGCACTGACCCCTCTGGGTGGGATGTAGACCCATTTTGCCGGCCTCTCTGTAGTGGTCCTCTGGACCCGTGGTTCAGACAGCCTCGAATGTGCAGCTGCCTCGGAGGCCAGCTCACCGCCGGAGCTTGTGTCCTGTGTGAGGCCCTGTGAGCTTCAGTCATCTCGGCCTCTAACCGAAGGCCAGCGTTTTCTGAATCCTGGTCTTTTGTCAAATTTGTTCCTATGTATTCTGTCAGTTTCCTTTGTTTGCTGTTTTCCCATTACACGTTAAAAGCAGCGTCTCAGTGTCCAGAAAGGGGTCGGTTTCTAGCGATTGTCTCTTGGACCACTGCTCACGGGAGGCTGGGTGTGTGTGTGGAGGCTGAGAAGGGCGGGAGGCCCAGGCGTGCTGGGTGCCGCCGGTGCTCAGCGCAGTGGCCCAGGGCTGGGCCCCTCCTCCTCCGCGACCGTGTGTTGGGGCAGCGGCCTGCTCGGCCGGGAAGACACCACCCCAGATCTTTCGGTCAGGAAAGAAAGTGCTGTGTTTATTTTTTTCAGGAAAAAAACATTTAGAAGATTTTTTTTTAAAAAAAAGCTCTTTCGTTTAGAAGGAATCTAGGTATGTTATTGTTTAAGAAAAAAAGTGTTTGCAATGTATCAGTCACCCGTTTCTCGTTCTGAGCATGATTTATGTGAGGAAATGGTTTTTTTTAAAAATTAAGCTGGAGATATATCCCTGTACGATGCTTCTGTGAAAATGTGGCTTTTGTCCGGTGCTGTTAATGCAAGTTGTAACAGTGTGATATGGGAGGCAGTGTTTACATGCTGCATTCCTCTGCTGTAGTCAAAATAAGCCCGGAGGGTCTACAGTAGCATTTCTGTATTTTATCAGCTTGGGCTGGGGCTGAGAGGGAGGCCTCCGCTCACACTTGGAGGGGCTGTTTCTGCCAGATTTATTTGCCTTATAAATATTCCCTGTGTTTATTTTAACTCGCCTTTAAAATGGAGCTGAAATTAATATGGACCTGAGGGCTGCCCCCCGGCCCTGTAGTGCCTCCCGCAGCCGGTGGGGGGGGGGATCTCTGCTCAGTGCCATGGGAGGCACAGCCAGTGCTGGAGGGCACCCAGCGAGCTGGCCTCCGTCTGCAGCGGCTGCGGTCCCCGCCGGCCAGCTCCTCACAGCCCGTCCGAGGCTCCGCGTCCCTTGTGCATTCTTTCTCCCTGCATCCCTCCCCGTGCTGGGGCATGGGCAGTATCCAAGACCTTTCAGGGTGCATCCGAGTTGGGCACAGTGACCAGTAGCCCTTAGTGGGGCCTGCGGCCCTTCAGCCTTCCGTGGTTGTTCCACGGCTTTGTCCCCTCAAGGCATGGACCCCGGTGGCCACAGAGGTGTTCAGCCTCACAGACATGTCTTTACTCGAATCCAGGTCTGGGGAGCCCAGGGCTAGCCAGGTGGCAGAGAGGGCACGATGAAGCCCAAGCCCAGCTGGTGGGAAGAATGAAACAGCCTTCACAACACAGCTGGGTGCCCGGCTTGGCACCCCGGAGGTAACAGATCACATGTGGAAACTTCCACCATATGCAGCGCGAGCTCCCAAGTCTGCGAGCAGGGGCCCGGGGGCGCCCTGGTGGCCCAGACCCTCGGAGCCACACCCTTGGCCTGAGGTGGGACCATGAGATTGGCATCTACTCAGCCTCGGCCTCCCGAATGCCAGCTTTGTATCTGGCTTGTTCAGCATTTCTGTTGTTCTTGCTTCTTCCTTTTTCTGTGTAATCCAGGGCAGGTTGAAGAAGTGAGGAGGATTCTGGGGGAAAAACAGAGTCCCCTGGGCAGGTAGCAGGAGCCCCTTCGGAAGGAACGGTCAGGGGGATAATGGTCACTTCCAGGAACTATTGACCACCAGTGGAGAAAATGGGGGGGCAGAGGAAGTGCACTGCCCTGCACGGGGAGGCTTAGAGATGGCGTGCAGCCCTGCCTGTCCCAGATGTCCAGCCCAGCAGCTTCCTGGCAGATGGAGGAAGGGTGGAAGGGAGAAAGGTGGGCCAACTCCCCACAGTGCCTTTAGGGAGGCAGGCCCTGGGGTATCTGGCCCTGCCTTTGATCCCACAGCCTGGTGATATTGGCTCACTCAGCTGGAGGGCTACCTCCTCTTCCAGGCCTTCTGGACCTGGGCATCCTGGCTGGGACTTGGGCCTGGCCTTCCAGCCTGCCCGGGGCCAGGATCCTCAGGTCCCCACACCCTGCAACCATTTGGGGACCCTAATGGTGGAGAATCGAGGTCACTCTGCTCCACACCCCCTCGGCTCCCTGGCCCAGCTAGTCAGCATTCCGGCCTGGGGTTCACTCCAGGTCTGCTGGCCAACTCTCTGCACAGCTGGGCTCTGAGCTGGCAGCTTTGGGGTGACCTCCGAGCCACCACCTTTCTCTGGCAGCAGAGGACTTGAATGAGACCAGAGCGACCTAGGGGCAGCTCTTCCCCACCTTGGCCTGCCACACCACTATTCCCACTCGCCGGCCCAGGTGGGTCCTCCCTGCTACAGCTGCACGGCTCGGCCCTCTGTCCTTGGGGCCCGGGGCTCTGTGAGGCAAGGTGTTTCTGTAACTTGGGCTGATTTAACACTGCCTCTCAGAGTTGGTCCTGGAAGGAGCTCTTTTTTTTGGACCCTTATTTTGTGTCTGGAAGCTGACTAGGTATTGTGATCATTTTTCTCTTTCCCTGAGTGCAGAAGGGAAGGATATAAATTTTTTTTAATTTATTTATTTGACAGAGAGACACAGCGAGAGAAGGAACAGAAGCAGGGGGAGAGGGAGAGGGAGAAGCAGGCCTCCTGCGAAGCAGGGAGCCTTATGTGGGGCTCGATCCCACGACCCTGGGATCACGACCTGAGCCAAAGGCAGACGCCTAACGACTGAGCCACCCGGGCGCACCCGGGAAGGATATAAATTTTTATCATGCAAAGAACCACAGCTATTTGGTTAGGAAAACTCATTGCTGTGAATGCTCTCATTTCCTGCTTAATGTCCATGTTCATTTAATGTGACACCTTGTGTCCAGCAAAAGGGAGACCGGCTATCTGCCTAAGACTTGGCTACCAGCCTGTAAAGCCCCGCTGACCATCTCCCTGGCATATCCTGATGGCTGCCGGGCCCAGGGGCTGAGGAAGACAGCTCCTCGGGGTGGCATTGTTAGGAAGCCAGACGGAGAGGCTCTGGCTGGGCGGAGGTGGGCCCAGTGTCGGACCCGGGTGGGATGGGGCTGGCAGATCCCAGGCAAGCCTGGAGCCAGCCCCCACTGGGGAGGAGGCCCTGGGGCCCCCCACCCTCCCTGCTGCCTCCCTGGGGCACCTGAGCTCGGCAGCCCGCTTGGCATTTCCTGCACTGGTGGGGCTGCCAAGGAGCCAGGTGCCTGCCATGAGGCCCTCACTTTGTGTGGGTGCCCCCCTAGGGGAGCGGATCAGGGGCCTTCAAACTCGAGAGGCAGGTGGAGGGCTCTTTAAGCTGCAGCTTCATGGGTCTGAATTAAGGCTTTTGTTTCTGCTTCCTCCCCCATTCAGATTTTGAACGAGAAAGCCTGCCCTGTGATTAGGCTAATCCCACGGTAGTGATAGCTTCGCATGAAATGTTTGCACACTGGAGGGCACAGAGAGCGAAGTTGCCCAGAACACACATACAACTGCATCAGGGGCTCCTGGGGTGTAGGGTGGCGGCTGCCCGCGTGGGCTGATGCCCTTGTGTCCGGGTCTCTTAATACAGTGACAAGGCGAGTGTTTCCATTCCTCCGAGGCTCACTCAGGCCCTCCCCCCAGATCCGACAAGCTGGTCCTGACTTCCGCTGCTGCCAGCACCCCTGTCCTCCTGTGGCTCACCAGGGCCGGCATTATTCCCTGCACCTTGGAAGCCAGCCTTGGCCGCATGGTTCCCAGGCCCTCTTCCTGGCCAGGGGTCCCCTCAGCAGCCAGAGGGACTTGTCTACAGTTTCAAGGGTACCTATAAAAACAAACCAGAGCCCCTCTTCCGGCCCTCCTTACCCCTCGTGATCTGGAGGCTCCAGAGTCTGTCTGGTTTTGCTTTGGCATTTTCCTACTTCAGCTCATTTAAAGGGAGTTCTCTGAGTTCTTGGATTCTGCGTTCTGCAAAGAATAACGATTATTTGATGAATTGGAGGCAGGGATGGAGTGAAAACCAATATTGTTGATAATCCTTGCTCACAAAGGCAAGACCCAAAATTACCTTCAAGAAGGCAGGACGCTTGTTTGCTTATGAGATTTCAGCTCTACACATGTGGTCAAGGACACCCACTTCGGAATGGCTGAGCTGGCACCGGCCTTCTCCCAGATGTGCCTTCTGTTGGTAACTCAGAGCTGGTGGCCTGAGAATGGTGGGCCCCCGTGACTGGGAGGTGGGAGCGGGAGGCCCAGAGCACTGAGGTGGCTCCGTGGGAGGAGCTGCCTGGCCGCCTGCTCTACCTCCTTGTCCAACTCCCCATCCACATAGTGCAAGAGGTTTAGGGAGGGCCCCAGGGGCTGCAGAAATAAGCCAGTTTTGCCAAAATCAGGAGACTGCCTTCCTGTGTCCTCAGCAATGTGACATGAGGATCTGGAGCCGTCCTGTAGGCTGTGGCCGGCAGCCGGCTGGCTCCTGCTGGAGGGTCCACGTCACAGAGGCCGGAAGGCTCCAAGACAGGCCGGGACAGCCCCATTGTCCAACAGAGGGGTTCCCCCAGTACCTGCATGCTGTGGCTGTCTGAGAGGCAGTCGGCCTGCGCCATGGCCACCACTGGAAACAGGGAGGAAAGGGCACTGCGTGTTTGGCATTGACGCTTTTACCCAACTTCGTGGGATGTTCAAAGCAGTTAAATTCTGCTTGCATTTTAAGTAACTCAGAATTTCACGTCTAAAAGAAAAGCCTGTACCGTTCACCGTATACATCAAGTACAAAAGACATTAGGATATGTCATTCTGAAAACGTCGCTTCACAGAGACCTACCTATTACATGTACGTGTGGCCACGTACACACGTGGATACGCACGTACGCCAACATGTCTGTCTCTTAGACATTGCCAGGCCTCTGTGCGGCCCTGAGTGCCTCTCGGTGCTCCTACCAGCTGTGGGGCCCAGGGTCCCTCTCAACTTTTTCACATGGTGAGCTCTGTTCACTTGCCCCAAACATGACTCCAGCCCAGTTCTGTCCCCAGCCCCCGAGAGGAAGCCATGTGCAGTTGCTTCCCGCAGGGCACCTGCAGCAGTATTCCACGGGATATACTGCTTTTTGAAATGGAATTATATCATTAGTACCTGCCGGGATTAGTGCTGACATTGGGCTTATCCATCCTTACATCACCTCCTCTTATTCAAAGGCTGAGGGGGTGATCTGACAAGCCCACCCACATGTTGCCACCTGGGCGGGAATTTTCATTCCGTGTTAGGTTCTGCACACACGTGTGTATGTGTGCTTGTGTGCGTGTGTGTTCATGCGTGCAGAGTGGAGCTGGGTCCCAGTGTCCTGTGTCTCCCTCTGCCCCCAGGTGCCTTCATCCTTGCTGCAGGGAGCTGGCTCTCCTGGCCCCGGCCCGTGTGTGGCAGGGCTGGACAGGCACATGCGGGCCTTCCACGGTTTGAGGATATTCTGGCCCCAGCTGCTGCTTTCCCAGAAGCCTCCCTATTGTCCCGTGCCCTCCCCGTCCTGCAAAGCATGTCTGCTTCCATCTTGGCTGCCGAAGATCTGGAGGGACCCCATTGGCAGAATTTACATGAGGACAGAAGGAAAACCATTCCCCTTGTTCTGATGGGACTTTTCTTCACACGCCTGTGGACTTTGCATTGATCGCACTCCCAGGACCCTTCACGGGACATGTGCTGTTCTGTCACTGACCACTCACATCCTTCACCACCAGGCAATTTTCTGATTCAGCGACACTGTGTTTGTCATTTATTTCACAGTCAGAGCCTCTGGGAAGTGGGTTTTGTGCCTTGGGACAACCTGTTTGAACAGTTAGCCTCAGCTGACTCATCAACAGTGACACGTCAACTGACCAGGCACCCCCAGAAAGCTGAAGGGCCCCGTCCCCCCTGCGGAGGCCCCAGTCAGGACAGCTGTGCGTGGGCCACGGTGGGCCACGTGTGGGACTCACCGTTCTTTCTGTCTGTGTCCATTCCTCTAACAGGTTGGTGGTCGGGGCCAGCTGTATCCTTTGCGGGCATGCAGGTGACAGCCGGCTGTGCTCACAGTCCTGAGAGTGGATACCCGGTTCCTACAGCCCCTCCCCCACGGCCCTCCCTTCCGGCAGGGAGGACGTCTGCTGCCTGGAGCCAGGCACTTACAGGGCCACTCAGTGCAGATGACCTGCACTCAGGGGACAATTTGAGGTTGACCTTTGAGGCTAGGGCTTCCTGGAGGCATTTCCTGAGCCACACGCTGAGACGGCTGAGCCTGTCGGGCCAGCTGGATACAGCCGTGAGGCAGGTGGTGCTCCCTGGAGAGCAGCCCCGTCCAGGCCCGGTCCTTCAGAGGGAGTGGTAACACCAGAGAGGGTCAAGAGAGGAGCCATGGGAGGATCTGAGGTCAGGAGAGGGGATAGCAGGGGGAAGGTGAAAGCTGGGACTGCTAGCTGGGAACATGGGTCGAGGGCCGCTGTTGCGTTTCTTTCGCCAAGAAGACTCTTCTCTCAGTGGCTACTCAGACCCCTTGGGGGTTGGGGGTAGGGCCAGGCACCAAAGGCTGACGTTAAACTGCCAAGAGCCTGGACAAATGCCCCATGGAGGCAGAAGCCACCTGGGCCCTGGGTACTGGAGGGTGCCCACGTCCCGTGGCTACAAGAGTCCCTACCTCACCTTGGACACGCGTTTATGAGGTCGGCGGTGGGGGATGGGGTGGAAGGGGGTCTTTGTGTTGCTGTTGGGAGCCTCCTTCAGGCTGACTGGAGATTGGTGGGGGAGTGGGTGGCTGGCCAGGGCACTGGGGGTCTCGCCCCTTGGCTCCTGATGTCACGATCCATTAGCATTCTTAGCTTCTGGCAGATGTGGCCCTGGAGTGTGCTGGCTTCCTCACCGGGCTCGGACTGGACACCACCGTCATGATAAGAAGCATCCCCCTCCGGGGCTTTGACCAGGTATGGCCACGTGTGCCCCAGGTCCCACCCTGTGCTCTCTCCCAGGCAGGTGTGGGTGTGGTCTAGCAGTGAAGTCTCAGTCTTTAGAAGCTGGCCCTTGAGTAAGGAGATTGTTCCTGAAGTAGAAAACACCTGCCAGAGTGTGGAAGGAAGGGCTGGCCCATGGAACGTGCGGCAACATGCCCCCTGGACCAAAGGGATGTTGGTGAGCACGCCAGGCCAGCCTCACAGACCACAGGGTTGGGTCAGCCCTTCTAGTCACTCCATTAGTAAGCAGAAAGCATGTGTCAGCTAACTCGCTGTCCCCCATCTCCCTTGCTGAGCCCCTCAGGTGTCTGAGTGAGGTGCCACCTCCACAGGGGCAGCACCAGGTGAGGAAGCAGGTGCTAGACTGGTAAGGCCCTGCATGACCACCTCAGGAGCGGGCAGCCCCTGGCTGCCTTCCTAGTCACCCACCAGAGACTGAAAAGATGTGATTTATGAGTCAGGACAAGCACTATGGTGGCTCTCCTGGCCGGCGGTCCACCCTGAGCACTCAGAGCGTCCCCACAGCCTCTGGGGCCCCGCCAGTTCCACATCCTGTCCACTGTATGGGGCCAGCACTTCATGCAGCCTGCCTGGCAGGCGTGGCAGGAGCTCAGAGGGCCACCCTGTGGGGTCTGAAGAGTACAGGTTTTCCTGATCCGCGTCTGGGGCATAGACACCCCTGCTCACGGCAGAGGCATCCATGTCAGGAGCACGTGGTTTGCGGGGTTTTTTTTTTTAACTAAAACTCTTCAAGGAAAAGTCACCTGTTAAAACCGAAGTCTGGGGCTGTTGCTGTGAAGGTGTCAAAATGCCCTCTAACGTGCCCAAGAAGGAAGACAGACCCCTGTCTGTCAGTGCTCTCCAGCCTGGTGAGCTCTTGCGGAGGGAAGGAGTGGGCCTGCCCCCAGCCCCACCCCAGCCGGCGGACTCGGATACCTGGCCCTCGGTACTGTGCGGGGCCACGCGCTTTCTTTTTCTCTTTTCTCTTTTTTTTTTTAAGAGTTTATTTATTTGTTAGAGAGAGAGAGAGAACAAACAAGCAGGGAAAATAGCAGGCAGAGGGAGAGGGAGAAGCAGATCCCCCGCTGAGCAGGGAGCCCGCTGTGGGCTCGATCCCAGGACCCTGATCATGACCTGAGCCGAAGGCAGACGCTTAACCAACTGAGCCACCCAGGTGCCCCTCTTTCACTTCACTCCACACTCATGTACTAAGTGTCCACAGTGGGGCCACGGCATCCAGGGAAGGTCTCTGTGCCTCGGGCTATGTGTGGAGTGTGCCGGGCAGCAGAAGGGAGCCGCACTAGGCCACGCTGCAGGACACAGAGAAGGACATGGCCTGTGAAGCAGAGGGGCCGTAGGCACGAGGACCAGTCAGAAGACTGGTCTTCCAGCCCAGGCAGAAGTTGGGAGACCGACGAGAGGGGGTGCCCTGGGACATGGCACTGTGGTGAGGCCGGGTGGCCCAGGCCCTGCCTCAGAAGGATGTGCAGCCCTGGTGGCCAGCCTAGGGCCGGTGGTCTGGCCCCTTGGCTCAGTTGGGCCCAGTAGTTCCCCCACAGACTGTGACAGAGACTCCAGGCTTGTCAGGCGTCCAGAGGAATCAGCAGCCTACACTTGTGTTCTCGTGACTGGTGTGACAATCCTGAACAGGCAGGACTCCTCATGGTGTATGTTTCTAAATGAGCAGGCACCAGAGGATTTAAACAGTGGCTTTTATTTTCTCTTCAAAGAAAACGCTGTGTCCAACTAAGACTCTAACCTGTACAAGCCTCCCTAGCAGCCCCAGGAGCTGAGCCCCCATCTGTAGTCAGGGGGTGCAGAGCTTTCTAGGCTGGGAGGAGGGAGCCCTCTCAGCAGATGCTCTGGCCACCCCCACCCCCCCCACCATGCCTGCTACCTTGTATATCTTGGTGGGGAGCAGAGGGGCCCCCCTCTACTGTCCCAACTCCCCAGTGGCAGAGGAGGTGACAGCATGCGGGGGGGGGGGAGGGAGGGGTAGCAGGTTTGGAGTCAAGTGCCATCTCGTTTGGCCAGGCCAGAGCCTCCCGGGGAAGGGGGTGTTTGTCATTGCTTTTAGTGAAGACTTAGTTAATCAGCATGTAGAGAAGAGCCCATAGGTCAAGTGCATCCTCACCCAAGGGCCCCAGGTCCTCGGATTTGGAGCTGGCATCAGATGCTGTCCCAGCACAGCCTTCACTTCCACAGAGAACAAGGGGACCCAGAAGTGGGGGTGGACTGAGGCCACATAGCAGCAGAGGAGGGGCCTTGGACCTTCTCCTTTGGATGGACCTTTCTTGGGCTCGTCTAGGGCTTTTTCAAGCAGGCAGGAGACCACGTCCTTTTCTTCTCACAATCATCAGGAGTGGACGTTCTCACTGCCACCTGGGCCTCACAGCACGTTCTCTTGTGCTTTGCAGCAAATGTCTTCCTTGGTCACAGAATACATGGCCTCTCAAGGCACCCGGTTCCTGAGAGGCTGTACCCCCTCAAGAGTGCGGAGGCGCCCAGATGGCCAGCTCCAGGTTACCTGGGAGGACCTCACCTCCGGCAAGGAGGACATGGGCACCTTCAACACTGTCCTGTGGGCCACAGGTAAGGGTGCGCTGAGCCACACGTGAGCCCCACGGAGGGCAGCAACACCGCCTCCCCTTCCTGCTGTTGCCAGGCCTCCCCTCACCCTGCTGGCTTTGGGGGGGGGGCAGCTGTCACAGCACACCTCTTGGGCCATCATAACAGCCCGTGGCGTCATTTCCATCACTTCAGGGGGGTTGGTTTGAGCTCTGCAGGAGTGGATGCCCAACTGGCCTTTGTGGAAGTCACACTTTGCAGATTTCCAAAGATGGCATCAGTGATGGGGCAGAGGCCTTGGGCAGAATTAACCCATTGCTGACGTTGCCGGACATACTCCTTCCCAGGCTGACTGCTCCCTGCACCCCAAGGGGCAGGATGGAGAGTAGGGATGCAGTGGGGGAGATGCCTGCCCAGGGCCTGGGCCTCAGCTGGTCTGAGGGAAGGGACATGGGCTTTGAGGAAAGGCACCCTGGCCAGGAGCCAGGCGGGAAGAGCAGAGAGCTCACTGTGTTCATCGTGAGCCTGCTTGTGGTTGGGGTCTGGTCGCAGAGGGCTGACGGATTCTGGGGCCAACTGCAGCACACCTGCTCGGACATCGTGCCCACCTTGACAGCTGCGTCCTCTCGGGTTGGGATCTCGTTTCCCTAAGCCCCCTGCGTCTTCCTTTCTCTCGATATTTCCAGTTCGCCGGGGTCTCTCTGCGCTGAGCCCGGCCAGTTGTCCCTCCTCTGTGAACCCGGGCTCGGAATCTGTGTTGCCGTCAGAATCGTCATCTGCCTCCACGTCAGTTAACCGAATGTCTGCTGAGTGCTCAGAGGGGCAGTCACGTCAGCGTCTGTCAGGACCTGGTTGGCCTGGTCCCAGCATGCCTTGCAGTGAGGCTCCCGGGAGGAGCAGGGCTGCATCACAGAGCAGTGGACTTCCTAGAAGCCTCTCTGGTTTTCCTGAGTTCTCAGGACGCTTGGAAGTCAGACCATGACATAAACTCTGGAGGAGTCCGAGCTCTTCCTTGTGTGTGGTCAACACGAGCAGCTCTAAGGAGCAAGGAAAATGCCTTGCAGTTAATGTAGTGCCTCTTGCCCAGAATTTAGTAAACAGCCACAGGAGATATTCTTGTTCAAATTGTGAAAGGAAATTGGAGGTTTATTTTGTTGAACACTGCGAAAGATTATATAACCATTCCGATCCGGAAGCGTAAATTGACATTTGTCTCAAATTCCATTCTAAAAGGTGAAGTGGCAAGTTTCTCCCTTCCCATCTGCACCCCCAGCCTTTTCCTTTGTCCCCTGATATCACTTCGGGGACCCCAAACACCCACATCCCTCCTCTCGCTATTGGACAGAGGCAAACACTCATGCCCATGTGCCATCCGCTAAGCCCACGCTGATGGCAGTGGCTCAGAGGGCAAGGGCCTGTGCCGTCGGAAAGCCTCGAGGTCCGCCCAGCTTCCAGACAGGTCCCTGGTGGGCGACGTGCAGGGCCCCTGGCGCACTGCCTGCCCTCCCCTCTGCAGGAGTCCGTTTTATTTTCTGTATTTTCAAAAAGAGCATCCCCCAGACAGTCTGCCCGACGTGATTGATGCTGGGGGTGGAAGCTTTCACAGTCCTTGGCCTTTGACCTTGCTCCCTGAGGCGGCGCTGCGGCGGCGGCGGCGGTTTCTGGCACGCCTCCTGGGGCTGTACGGGCATGTGCTGACTTCGCTGCTCGCTCCTGGGCCAGGTTTTGTAAACAATCAGGAGCCACTTCCCAGTTTAACAACTGGGAATGTTTTCTGCTGGTTTACCCCATAAGCCTTTAACCAAGCATCATTTCTGCTCCCAATAAAGGATGATCCGATCTAGGAGGTTAAAATAAAACACCCCCACCCCCGGAGAGGGCGGGGGGCTGAAGGGCTGGCACAGCAAACAGCTCCCAGACCATACGTCCTGCCGCAGTAGCGAGCGCTGTGTGCACACAAGCTGGGTTTTGACGAGTGTTAAAAACAGGAGGGGAAGGATGCCCCTCGTGTCCGGAGGACACACGCTGAGGTCCGCAAGGAGCTTCCATGGGGCTGAGCTTGGGCCTGGCGCCTCGGTCACAGCTGGTGAGGACAGTATGCGCAGGGATGGCGAGGTGGGCCCTGCAGTCTGCAAGCCCGGGAGGACTCGGAGCCTCTTCCTCGGCCCAGCCTTGATCTCCACGTGGTGGATTAAACACATTAGCAGTTAAAGCAGTTAATTGCTGTGCAGGGGGCCGGCTCATTGTTTGTCTCTGAATCACCCACCCACACCAGGTGTCTCAGATAATAGACTGGGAACTCGCAGCGAGGAGGATTTCCTGTCTGCAGATGTGCCGATTACAGTGCTGAGTGAAGCCAGTCAGCCTGCGCAGCGCCGCGGGCTCGAATTCACCCTGTGCAGTTAACCAGTTGTGGCCTGAATCCTCGGCCGTCGTGGGAGGCGGTGGGGGAGCAGGGGCAGGACGGGGCAGCTGAGGGGACACTTGCGCGTGAGCTGGCCCTCAGCTGAGGTTTAACTTCGACTTTCTTTCGGAGGCCGGACTGGGGGCCTCTGGAGCAAAGCCCTGGGAAAGCCGGCCCCTAAAACCGTCCCGTGCCCCTCAGCATCTCTGGCCTCTAGAAGGTTTCCTGTCCCCCTCTCGAGGCAAGGGTGGAGGCTCTGGCGTATCCCTCCCTGGGCCACAGGAGTCCTGCCCATGGTCAGAAGGCCCAGACGGCTGGTGTTCCCACCATCTGGGGTGCCGGGAAGGGCTGTCCAGGCCCCGCCTCAGCAGCCCCCTTGGTCTGTTAGGAATCAGCTCTTTCTTCTTCCTCGGACTTTGTCTAGTTGCCCACCTGTGTGTAAAACCCACAAATAACTTCTGAGTCTCCAAAATGGTATAGAGCCAGAAGGCACTGGAGGCCTGGCTTTCCAACTTCTCTTTTTTTTTTTTTTCTAAATTTTATTTATGTATTTGGGAGAGAGAGCACGGGGGTGGTGGTGGTGGGAGGAGCAGAGGCAGAGGGACAGGCAGACTCCGCGCTGAGCACGGAGCCTGAAGCGGGGCTCAATCCCACCACCCTGAGATCACAACCTGAGCTGAAACCAAGAGACTCTCAACTGACTAAGGCACCTAGGCGCCCCCCCCCCGGCTTTCCGCCTTCTAATCCAACCCCCATATTGAGGACCCCACTCCATGTACAGCCCAACTACACAGAGTGTGGCCATGGACCACAGCCAGGGAGGTGGTGGCATCCTGGAGACAATGAGGGGGCCTGCGGTGCCCAGGGAGTGGAGTGCATCTGCCTGGGGGGGGCCCGCAACGCAGGGCTCCCCTCTCTACCATGGAGACTGCTGGCTCCGGTTTCCAGGAGGCCACCTTGGTCAGCTGATGGCTCCATGCCACAGACACCCCCCTTCGAGTCCTTGTGGAATATCCCCCCGCCCCGAGTGCCGGGTAGCAGCCCTGGGAGCTGGGGGCAAAACGGGAAGTGAGCCCCCGAGGCTGGGCATTCATGGGTGGGGATCTCTGAGTCCAGTACGAAGGATGGAGCAGTCCAGGACCCGCATGCCTCCTGACAGCTGTGAGAACCCAGGCTCTCCACAGCTGGCGCTGGGCTGCTGGAGACGGGCCGGCAGGCAGAGCGTGGGTGCGACCTTGTTGAGAGAAGCCCAGTCCAAGGCCACCGGGCCTGTTCTTTGGGCCTGTGTCTTGCTGTGGCTGTAGGAAGCTGCGTGTGGCCGTGTTCTTCCCAGGGGGTACTTCGGAGTGACCTAACCACCTGTCCCACACGCAGACCCCCCGGCTCACCTAAGGCCCACCTGTCTCCGCCGTCCAGGCCTGAAGAGAAGCACTGCTCTGCTTGTGAGCCCCTCATATGCCAACACCTTTTTATTTCAGTGTAAACGTCAAGTGTGTAACTAGCAACGTGAAGAGAGACTTAGATCCGTTTGTGTATGTGGTGTGCTTTCTTGGAGGCAAAGAGGACGTTCATGGAGCTCTTCCTGTAGGCACCTCTCACAGGCCAAGAGAAGTGGCTGGGCCTGAGACCACGGCCTTCCCCACCACACCGTGTGGCCCCTGCTTGTGAACCAGCGCCATTGACTCGGTGGCTGTCATTTATCTCAGCTCTGGCTCACCGTGGCACCAACCCATTGCAGAGGCCAGGCAAGGGCAGTGGGAAGGCAGCACCCGGGCTAACAGACCAGCCCTCTGCCCTCTGCTTGGGATGCCCTGCACCGCCACAGGGCCAAGAGTGATACCAGGCCTGCGAGCCGGCTCCTGCCTGTGTCCAGGGTCACCTTGACCCGCACAGTCCTCAGACCCAGGCCAGCCTGCCTTCGCCCTCATGGTCTTTGTACCAAGTCAAACTCAATATTTATGGTTAGAACTTGGTAGAAGCCAGTTGCTTTAAAAAGAAGAAGAAAGCTATAGTGAAAATGCTTCTAAAGGTAAATAGGCATCGTTTTTATGCATTAATGTGCACTAGCTAAATTTTGCAAGTGCTACTGGGAGCCATCAGGCAGCAGGAAGTTTATATTGACGTTTGTAATTGTTATAGCAATAATTACTACCTGCCAGGGAACGTGTTCCTTCCTGGGGGTTCCCGTGGACCAAGCTGCAGCTGGGCCCAAGCTGGAGGCTCCACCAAGTTCCAGGGCTGGCTGTGGGGGTTTAGGAGCCCATGTGAGCTTATTTTATGTGTTGTCAGTGTTGCGCACAGGCTTGAATAGGCAATGCCCATGATGTGTTTCGGAGGGGGGAGGAGGGGGAGGGATAGCGGTGAGCAGTGTCATCAGGATGGCCGGGGTGGTGGGGACAGTGGCAGGTGCTGGTGGTCACAGTAAGCCACAAGCCTCAGGTCATGCTAGGGTTCACTTATTCCTTCAGCAAACGTTGAGCCCTACCTAGGCCCCAGGGCAGCAGGACGGGTCCTCTGCCCTGCCCTTGGGGGACTTAGGTTGTGGCTGGGGTTCTGGGGCTCTTGTAGAAGGGGCCATTCGAAAAAATTAAAGGAGCCCTTTGCTGTTGTTATTCTGTCCCCTAAAGTCTCAAAGATGACAAGAGACACATAATAAATTTTTTAAGAGGTAGGCCTCAAGGGATCTGACTAGGGGTACCAAAGGTGTGAGTTCCGCCTTCTGCGTCTGGTCCGGGGTGTCCCACAGGCAGCCTAGGGGGAGTGGCTGGCCCTGCGGGGCCACGCATGTGCCCCCCAGGAGGGGTGCCCAGGCCCTCCGTGAGCCTGCAGGAAGCTGCTGGTCCGGCCTCCTGGACCCCCATCCTCCTGGCACTCACTCCCTCTCTGTGATCAGAGCCCCTCATTTGCTCTGTCATACTCCGGCTGACACCTAAATCTTACCTCATTACACGGATTGCCCTTCACTCGTCGGAACGTGTGCTCTAGGCAGGCGTGAAATTGGAGGGAATGCCCATTTTCCTGCATGGGGCAGAAAGAGGCCCAGGAAACTGCATGTGTCCAGTTGTCTGTGTCCCTGGGCCCAGCTGTGCAGGTAGGAATGACCAAAGCCGCCATCTGGGGAGTCTTTGACCTCCAGCTTTCTCCAGCCTCCTCCAGCTGGCTGGGTGAGCGTGGTAGCCGGGCTGCCTCCCTGGGCCCGTAGCGGCAGCTGGTGGGACTCCAGTGCCTCAAGGGGAGGGCTGGCCTGGTCCAGCTGCCCTGGGAGCTCTCAGGCTGAATGCGGCTTCCTGCACCATTTCAGGGCCCTCGGGTGTCCTGGATGCTGGGCACCACGAGGGAGGGACTGTCTTACCTTGGTGACACCAGGGATCACATGGTCCCTTAAAGGGACTGAGACCGGCAGACAAGGCTGAGCTTGGTGAGGGAAGCAGCTCCAAGGGCCCATCCACACATTTATTTGGACATTGCCTCCAAGGGGGAAGTGAGAACATGTTTGCATCTGGAATCTTAATGCCCTCATTTGCGGTAAATATGATGGAATGTCATTCATGTATCATATGCGAAGCTCTTAGAAGGCAATCAAGTCATGGAGATTTGTATAAATAAATGAAAAAAGGCAAGGAACGGGCAGTTCACAGAAGGAAATACAGCTACTGAAAACGTGGCCCAAAGTCCTTAGTTTCACTGGTAAATATACTGGCAATCAAAGAAGGGGAAATTATAACATCGGCTGGAGGGAAGGAGCAAGCCCCAGAAGGAGCCTTCCACCCAGGCGCAGCTCCCGGCCCTGGGCCGGGGAAGCCCCACCCGGCTGGCCGGCCTTCCTCTGAGGACTGTCCCAAGGAACTAAACCGACATGTGGACAGACTGCCATCCCCATCCCCATGTGTCCAGGGAGCAGAGATGGCGGGAGCCAATCCAGGGAAGCCATTCAGCAGCGCTGGCAAACCCGAGCTGGGTGCCAAAGAGCCGAGGCCCCAGGGAGCAAGAGATCCCGCAGGGTATGGAGCAAATGGCTTGCTGGGGGTGTGGAAAGCACCATGTGCGACATACAGGGTGATGTACCTGGTTGGGGGGGTGCCATGGAGGCACCCATCTTTCCCCAAGTCACCTGAGGAGTCCTACCTTTGTTTTTGCATAAGAGGAAAATGGTGAGGGAGAAGACTTTGCATGTTGCCTGGGTCTTGCTTCTGGCCATGTACGTCTGACTTGGACTGGGCATCATCCATGGGACCAGAGCTGCCCTGCTTGCATGGCTGGCCACTGGGTCCCCACCCTAGCATCCATGCTCTGCCTTCCTTGGGGGCTCCAGGCCTGAGCTGAGAGGGGCCCCACACCATCTGACTGGGCCACCAGCACCTGTGGGGAGACATGACTCTGCTCTGAGCACAAGGCAACAGAACTTTGAGGGTCATGGGGTATGTCTGTCCCTCCTCCATGACCCTTATCCAGGTGGTTTGCTCAGTGAGGCCCGCCTCCCGGCTGTGGACCCATGGAGCTGGCGGGGCCTACCACAGCTATGGGGCATGGCCCACAGAATGGGGTGCCTGGGTGGAGCTGGGCCCCCTGTCAGCCTCAGGCCTCCCCGACACATGCCCTGCCAGCACGGCTTCCAAAACCCAAAGTGCCCATGGCTGCCCTTTTAATTAAGGCTGTTTCTGACTGTTTGGGGCAGCCTCTCTCTTCCTTCGCTGTTCATTCCAGAAGCATCGATGGAGTGCCTTCCACAAGTTGGGCATATTCTGTCTACCCCCACTGCTGTTACTCCTTTTAAATTTATCTTTATATTCTTTGAGACCTTGGATGTGGTTAGACTGACATCTGTGAGGTGTGTGGTTACCGTGGTTACCAGGAGGCACAAGGAAACACTCCTGGCCTCCCAGGACCAGCCAGGCAGGAGTGCAGTGTGGCCAGCGTCAGAGCAGAGTGGTCTGCAGGCAGCCAGCTTCGTCCTCGGACGCTCCAGCCTTGGCCTGGAGTGTTCGATCGCCAGGAGGTCGTGGGCCTGGCAAGCTGTTGTATGCCCTGCTCCCCAGAACTGGGAGTCTGGGGAGGAGCCTGAGGGCTCAGCTGTGAGTCCCCTGCCTGCAGGGACTTTCTCGGCCCACCCAGCAGACCCCCACCAGGCCTGCCCACTGGGCCCATCTCCTTCCTTGCTGAGGCCCAGCACCTTCCAGTCCCTTCCGAGGTGCACAAGAGCTCCCAGGCACCAGCTGGATCCCCTGCTCAGGAATCAGGCCTGGGCCCCCACGCTGCCTCCTCCAGGCAGGACACTGGCCAGCATGCCCTGTTGCACCCTGCATGCTCATGCATCTCCGTTCATGTGACTAGGGCCGGCGTCGGTGGCGTCAGGAGGCAGGGACCTCCAGAGCCTCATGTCGCGTCGCGTCGCCGGTGTCTGGTATTCTGGGCGATGGGTGTCAGCCCGCCCAACATCTGATTCCTGCGGCCAGGCAGAGTGAAGAGGCCGGAGCCCGCTCCCCATGAACTTGAGAAGCACGGCTTAGTCGAGTCTCTGTGTTTTGACTTCCCACTCTGGGAGAGCAGCTGGAGACTTAAGGTTTCCCTTTCACAGGACTCGGTCTTCCAGATGTTCAGCCTGGTACCACCCACTACCCGATCTCTTGTGTATCTGAGCCACCATGAGCTGTGGGAACTGTGCCTTTGACACTGTTCATCTTTGCCTTCAGGGCATTCTGGGAGCCCCAAGGGGCTGCCACTGCCCTCCCAGGGCCCAGCAGGATGAGCTGCCTTTGCCACCCCTTAGCTTAGTGAGGCCACATTGTCTGAGTTAGGGGACAAAGGGACCTCTGCTGGCAGCTCAGCTGTGACAAGGCCCAGGGCTGGAAGCGTGTGAAGCCTGGCAGGGAGGCTGGTGCCGCCATGCCCAGCCCCTGCTGGCTTTGCACCCCAGAGTTGCTCATCAGGATTAGCCCAAATGACTGCACCCAAGGATGGCTATGGTGTGTGGTTTGGGCTCTGCCTTTCTGTCCGTCTCTAGGGGTCTCTGAGCTGGGGATGTCTGCTGGCCAGGTGCCACGAGAGGAGGAGCTAAGGGCTTGGAGTGTGGAGCTGGCCAAGGCCGGGCCTCTAGCCCCACTTGCTCAGCCCCTGCGCTGGCTGCCCTGAGACCCCGAGCAGGGCTTAAGTCCATGCATTCTCGCCGCCTGCTCTGGAGGATGTCCGGCTGCCCAACTCTGGGGACACAAGGCCACAGCCTATTCACACAGAACCAGTCTGGTGGCAGGATAGAAGTGTAAATCCACGACAAAGCACCATCCTGAGTATGAGCCTGCAGGAAAAGCAACCTGTGGGAGGGTGGGGAACCCCGGGGTCACGGACAGAGTGGGAGGGAAGGGCCACGTGGGGACTCAGCAGGCTGTCGGCTCACTTGGGGCCCACAGGCACGCTCCACAGAGACTGAGACACACACAAGCACACACCCCGGCCCCGCTGGAAAATGCAAGCAGAGGGTGGGAGCCACAGTTTCTGTGAGAGGCCCCGGGTGGTGTATATTCCGTGTCTTCCCCTCAGGGCCTGATGCCTGCAGAGGCTGCAAGGCCCTGTCATGTGTCTGCAGCTGTGGCTATGGTGACCCTTGATCACACTCTGCTGTGTCCACAAGGCATCCATGCCTGAAGTGGGCTGCCTCCCAGAACCTGCCCCTGCAGTGGGGAAGCATTGAGGTCACCGTCCAGGGATGGGGCGCGCATACTCTTGGGTCGTCGCTACTTCTAGACATTTTCTGTGGTCGGAGCCATAGGAACTTTGTACAGAAAAAAAAAAAAAAGACTCGATGAATTTCTAATTCAAATTTGACTTTACGAGGTTTTAACTGTCTTTTTCAAATGGCACGTAAGATCTGTCTGCAGCTTTATTGTTAGAATATAATCGTCTTAGGACATGCAGTGGAAATATGGGTTGCCGTAGTCTCCTGAGCGAATTATCTTTGTATGTGCTGGGTTGTCAACTGCATATAATTAGGCCCATTTGTTTCAGATTATTTACAAGTTATGGGAACTTTGTTTTCCATTTTTATTTTTTGTTGTTTGAGTACATGAAATGTACCTGATTTAAGAAATCAAAATTGTATCATAGGATGTGTTTAGAGAAGTCTTGTCCCCATCTCTGCTTCCTCCACCCCTTTCCCTTCCTTTCTGTTCCTCTTCATCCTGCTTCATCCTCTCATTGATTCTTTGTGCAAATAAAGGTGTGGGGGTGTATGCGTATATGTTCGTGTGTGCATGTGAGGCCACAGAGGCCGGGAGCCCCTAGACATTGTTGCACTTGATGTTTTACCAATTCCAAGTGGGCATGCTGAGAAGCATTCTGAATAAACCAAGGAATCTCAGTTGGAACTGCTAAAAGTCTTTCAGCCTTGCTCTTTATTTCCTTCAGGTCGAATTCCAGAAACCAGAAGTCTGAATCTAGAGAAGGCTGGAGTAAACGTCAACCCCAACAGTCAGAAAATCCTGGTCGATGCTCAGGAAACCACCTCCATCCCCCACATTTATGCCATCGGAGATGTAGCAGAGGTACGGCCTGCACCTGCCACCTGGCCTCACCACCCCATCCCCCCACCCCGGCTGGGCCTCGGGGACCTAACGAGGCTCACAGAGGCTCTGGGCCAAACCCCAAGTACTGTTAGACCCAAGTTCTGGGAAGGATTGGGTACCAGCCTCTGCTTGCTCGAATGTTCCTCCTTTCTCTGGGGCATAGGGGGGTGGGGAAGGCTTAAAAACTAAAAGCGCCATCAACAAATTTCTCTTGTGCACCTCCCCATATGTCAGCTCTGAGGGAGGGACATCTGTTTGCACACAACATGGGCCTCGACTTCCTGAAGGTGGGCTGGAGGTACAGAGCCCTAGAAATGCTGCTGCTGGGCAGAGCCTTGGGGCTATCTGGCCCTGCAGCACTGGGCCTGACTTCCTCGCCTCAGTTTATCCTCTCATCTGTGGAGGGGTCAGTACTCTCCCTGACTGGGCTGTCAGACGGGGACACAGCCCTATTCACCAGGCCTCCCTGCTCCTCCCCTTGTGAGTCCTTGGCGGAAGCCCTGCCCCCAGCCTGGGACGCATCTGGTTGGCGCCCCTCCCCTCTTCATGGCCCTGTCAGGGCTGGTCAGTCGTGGGACCCCCACATTCCCAAAGCCTCAGGAGCAGTCGGCCTGTCCTGTACATGTGCAGCATGGCCCAAGGAAGGTGGCTTGGGAGGGGCCCTGGCCAAAGGAGCCTGAGAGATGCACCAGACCCTCCAGACCCCAGGAGGCCTCTTGGTGGCCAGTCCTGCCAGTGTCATGGACATGTTAGTTTCCTGGGGCTGCCATTACAGATCACCACAGGCTGAGTGGCTTAGACCGACAGAAATGTATTCTCTCACAATCTGGGGGCCAGAAGTCTGTGTGGGCAGGGCTCTGCTCCCTCCGAAGCCTCTAGGGGAGGACACGTCCTCATCTGTCAGGCACTCCAGACTTGGACCTGCAGCATCCTCTGCCCGTGTGTGTGTGTGTGTGTGTGTCCTTGTTTCTTCTCAGGACCCTCATTGGATTTAGGACCCACCCTAAGTGACCAGTCCTAAATGATCTCAATTCTTTCCTTAATTATATCTGCAAAGAGCCTCATTTCCAAACAAGGTCCCATTCTGAAGTTCCAGGCAGATGTGAATTTGGGGGATGCTGTTAAACCCGCCATGATGTGTTCTGGCACCAGCCACTTTTCTGGGTTCTGGCTGCTGCAGGAACAGACAAAAGTCTTAGCCCTCGTGGTGACATTCTGGTCGGGGTCACAGATGACAAGTGAGTAAGTGAACCGTTTGAGGCAGATGTCAGAAGATGCTTAGTGTGGCGGTCAAGGAGACCTGAGGGAGGAGCAGAGCGAGGCAGAGGCCCAGGCGAGCTCAGCGAGGATGCTTGTGCCTACCCAAGAGTTCAAGCACTGCCCTGCCCACGCACACCCCAGACCCCACTTTGGGAAATGCCTGGGGGTAAGGGGAGCCAGTATCTACGGCAAGTGGGTCCCTGAGTGGGGCATCCCGGAGCTGAGGGGATACGGGTGGCAGTTGTCCCCAGTGCTACGGGACCATCCCTCCCTCAGCCTCTGCTGCAGCTCATGATGGGTGGGTCTGCCGGAGAGCTTGGCACACTCATGGAGACGGACCAGGGCAGAAGGCCGTGAAAGGCTGGGCCTTCCCTTTGTTCCTGAGGGGCCAGCCTACCCATCTGGCTCAGGTCTGTCCTGCAGACACTTGACTCCATACAAACCCCTCCTGTTAGGACAACATGGCCTCTGCTGTGCCCATTGTACCAGAAGGGTCACCCACTAGCCGTGGTCAGTGCTGACATATGAGCCAAGGGGCCGCCACTCGAGTCCCTCAGGCTGCCCCTGAGCCCAGGCTCATGAAATGGTGTGTGGGGAGCAGACCACCAACTGGAGGCAAGACCGCAGGGACAGCTTGCTGGGGCATGTGGTCAGAGCTCTGGCCCCTCCTCCCACTGAGTCCCCTCTGACCATCTAGTTGACCTGCTGGTGTGGACGGAAGTGAGTGGCTTCATGTGCCCGCTAGACCGGGCAGCATTGCTACTCGTGTGATCTCTGGCAGTGGGGATGTGGCACTCTGCCTTGGCACCTTCGGTGTTCATCGTGGGCACTGCGGCCCAAGATAGCACTCTTGGTCCCAGGAGGGAGTGCCGCTCATATTATAGCGGACTTTCTGCGGGCCCCAGGAGCTGAGTGAGGCGGAGAGCCATCGGCAGCAGGGCTCATGCCGACATAGCGGAAACCATAGTATTTCAGACTGTGTTGCCAGAAATAGTACACACAAAGGCAATGTCTATTGAATTATTAAATCCGCTCGGTTGGAAAGGTCATTCTGGGCAGTCCAAAGAGTTAACACCCAGTGGTCCGGCGTGAGGTGCGGAAGAGTCCAGCAGGCGGGCGGGGCGGCCATTGTCTAGTGCCATATTGTGTGCTGTGCGCATGGACGTTTCCACAGTTAGTCAGGCCCGGTGGAATGCATGGGCTGCTTTCACGAGTTTATCTCTGCGGATCTCTATTCATTTCTGGAATGTCAAACAACATCTGCATTTCCTGCTGCTGCAGAGGTGATTGGCAGCCGGTCCCAGGCCGACGCGTGTAGGAACACCGGGGGCCGTGCCACCCCCTGCTCCAGGAGCAGGACACACCCTGGGACGGAGGGGCCTCCAGCAGCACGGCATTTGGATTGCGATTTGTAATGGACTGTGACGTGCAAGCCAAGCTGTGTGTCAGGAGCACATGAAATGCTTCCAGGGCCCGCTTTAGATGCATCCTGGTTAATGCGGACGATTGAATAGGAGCGGGATGTCCTTGGAGCTCTGTCATGAGGGCAGCTCTCCAAGGTCACCAACATGAAGAAGGGGTTCAGAGGGAAGCCACAAGTGAGGGTGGGTGGTGTGGCTGGGCTCACTGGCAGCTCACCTGCTCTTCCAGGGAAGGGGGCCGTAACCACAGCTGTCTCCCTGGAGCAGGGCAGGGGGAAGAAGCAGAACAAGCAAACCTGTCCAGGGCCCTGGCGTCCAGAGACAGACAGCCTTTGGGGGTTTCGGAAAGGGAGAAGCCTCCCTAGGAAGGCATGGGCGGTGGCAGGGATCCTGCACAGACTCCCCCAAATGTGCCAAAGTAAGCCCGGGCTCCTTCCGTGCATCAGGGGCGGCCCGAGCTGACACCCACGGCTATAATGGCAGGAAAGCTCCTGGCCCAGCGGCTGTGCGGTCAGTCCTCAGACGTGATGGACTATGACAATGTGAGTACCCTCTGCCCTCCAGCATGCTGCATCCTGGAGACAGCTGCAGCTCTTCCGGGGTGGGGGGGAGGGCGCGGGGGTGTGCATGCACGTGCCCCCGTGTGTGAGGGTTAGCTTTGTGGGTGTGGCCCCGGAGCAAGTGAGGGCGCCCCCCACCCCCTCTCGCAGGCTGCCAGCCAGCACGTCCAGGGACCTGGCCTGAGCTTCTTGCTCTCTGGGCCCCAGAGTAGGGATCTTCAGCGTTGGGTACCCAGGGGGGTACGTCACCTGGGACCTGTTTTCCAGGTCCCCACCACAGTCTTCACCCCGCTAGAGTATGGCTGTGTGGGGCTGTCAGAGGAGGAGGCCGTGGCTCGCCACGGAGAAGAGCATGTGGAGGTAAGTCAGGGCCCCGAGGACAGAGGGGTGCCAGGACGTGATGCCTGTGTGGCTCTCACGCCCTGACGACAGCCCCTCCCCGACAGAGGCCTGGCAGGCGAGCGGGAATGTTGGTGTCCCTGCTTCCCAGGGCCTGCAGTTTGGCAGGGTGGGGCAGGGGGCCCAGAGGGATGGCTGAGATATGGCATGAAAGGGCACGTGGGACGGGAGTGCTGGAGGACAGGCCCAGAAACCAGGGCACCTTTGCGGTGTGGCCCCTCACAGGCCCATGCGTCTCCCTCCACCTGGAAAGGCTTCTCCTGCCCTCCAACCTTCTGCCATCAGCTTCCGCTCCCCACACCCGCCCCCAGCCCTGCCACAGCCCGGCCCTGCCCTCAGGTACCCCCACCTCCCTGCCACCCCTGCCTCTGTTCCCAATCCGCAAGTCGTCCAGCTCTCACAGGCCCCCAACAGCCCGGACTCAGGTACTCACCCCAGAAGAAGCCTGCTTCTTGAGTCTGCTAAGCGGGCCTGCCTTGGCCCTGGGGTGGCCCCCGAGGGTACCCCTGGTGGCCCGGCAGGATAGGGGAGCTGGAAGCCTCCAGCATGGCTTCATCTTGCTACTGCAGCAGCTTGCACACAGACCGGGAGAAACCAGACCCCGTGTGGCCACCACTGCGGGCCTCGTACCCTTTGAGAATGAGTCACTGGGCTCCAGGGCCTGCCCCCTGCCCCAGCGCCCCGGTCCCCTCCATCAACAGGCCAGGCCTGACAGGCCAGCCTTCCCTCCAGCACTTTATTTGCTATTTTTGTTTGATTCATCACAAGTACGTGGGGACATATGTTCATGGCATTCTATAATGTTGTTTTATGTTTCACGATGTTGAATGGCCACATACCCTTTGTTTGTTTTCTTTTCAATTCTGTCTTAGTTAGAACAATATTCGCTGAAGTTCCATTAATTAATAATGGCTGTGCAGCACATGTGAGGGCCCCGCTCATTTTTTACTCGGCCACAGCCCCGAACACGCTGTCGAGCCCTTCTCGGGTGCTGAAAGCCTTTGGCCGACAGCTCCGGTGTGGGCCGGGGGCCTCCCCATGCCTGCCTCCCCCTCCTTGCTCAAATGAGGGCCCATCCAGCACCAGGGTACTCTGGGGAGGCCAGATAGCCACTGGGTGGGCCAGGCGCCCCCTTCCGCTGCCCGCAGTCACCCCATCCACACCCCAGCATCCACCTGGTGTGCACTCTGGGGGGCTGAGTCTCGGGCTCTGTGACAAGACCTACGTCTGGCTGTGCTTAGCCAATCTGGTGCCCACTCTGTTGCTGTGGTCCATCGGGGCCTTGCAGGGGGGTGGGGTGGGGAGGGGGGTTCTGTCCTGCAGACGGTGTGGCTCCAGCCCCAGGCTGGCTTTGTGTGGGAGGGAGAGCTCAGCCATGTCCTTACCGCAGACCACAACCTGTAGGCCATGTGGGCAGCTGTGGGTCCCCGCCCCATCCATGCAGCCCTTGAGGCTACTAACTACAGGAATCAGTATCTTGTCACTTAGGTTTATCATGCGTATTATAAACCGCTGGAGTTCACAGTGGCTGAACGGGATGCATCCCAGTGTTACATAAAGGTAAGTGTTCTCGAGGGCCCAGGGCCGGGCCATGCTGGGAGGCGAGAGGCAGGGAATGAGCTGGCGCCCAGGGGTGGGGAAGCTCCCTGCAACCACACGGGCCTCCCGGGGCAGGGCCGCCTGTGCAGCCCCAGGGCCCCGTCTCCAGCCAGGCTGGCCATTGACGATGTGGCTTTCAGATGGTGTGTCTGCGGAAGCCCCCACAGCTGGTACTGGGCCTGCACTTTCTCGGCCCCAACGCAGGCGAAGTGACTCAAGGATTTGCTCTGGGGATCAAGTAAGTGCGGAGGAATGTCGATGTGGCACGCTGCTCGGGCTCATGTGGCTCTGACAGTTGGTGGCGCCATGGTGGAAAGTCTGCTGCTGTGGTGTGGCATTTACAGAGCATCCTACGTGTGTTCAGCAGAGCATCTCCTCAGACCCAGCAGCTCCCATCACGTGAGAGGCAGCTTTCTTCTCCAGCCAAACACTCTTAAGCCAGTCATACCGTGTCAGTCTGTGGCTGGGCCACCTGGGGAGCGAGGGGAGAGGCCCATGTCCCTGGCCGCCAGGGGTGGGTCACAGTTTGGGTCTTCTCTTCTTAGAATGAGCAGGGCTGGGGCCCTCCTTCACGTGGCCCAGCACCCAGGCAGTCATGAGCAGGGTCTGCGAAAGCTGCCCCAGGATTGCCGTGTGCTTTCCGGAGCTGGGTCTTGGGCATAGGCGGTGCTTTGGTGGATCTCGGGTCCCCAGGCTTGCCTGGAGCCTTTGTGGATGGAGGTTCTGGGTGGGGGTGGGTTGTCTGGGGCAGTGGGGTGTGGGGCTGTCAGAGGCAGGAGGGTGGAAGGTGAAGTAGGGCCGAGGGAGCAGAGAAGGGCTGCACGGGCCACCCCACCATGTGCTTGGGGCTTGGGGCCGAGGCCGAGATCCAGCTGCAGAGGTTGGTGGAGGTAGGAAGTCAGAGAACAGGGCGGGAGCTCGAGGGGCAGGGCCCGTACCGGGAAGACCGACGGGGGCCGTGGCACCCCAGGCTTCCCAGCAGGTAATGATACTAAAGACGGGACAGAGCCAGTAGAGACTTAGAGAACACAAATGAGCAATTCACAGGCAAAGAAAATTTAAGTAAATCGTAGAAAGACGCTGTGCCTCATTTGGAATTTTTCATGTAATTGAAACACCAAGAAACCTTCTTGGTCAGTGAAGGTTAAAAGGTTTGATACTGTCCAGTGTGGTGGTGATCATTTCCAGCATCTGTGTAGTGGAGACACTGAAGGTTTGAGCAAATCAGTGGAGTGAGGAGACCCATGTTCCGACACACTCAGGAGGAGGGTGTGAACCGGACCCTCCCTCTGGGGGCCTTCTGCCCACAATTTGAAACGCACACACTTGTTCGTGTCGGGAACTCACGCACCAGATATTCTAACATGTGTGCGTAGACAGAAGAAGGGCTGCTTGTTGCAGCCTTGTCTGCGGATGGTGGCAGCGCCCTGTGGGGAGTCCTCACTCACTGTGCCTCCGAGGAGGTGACCGGTGCCCCATGGGTGGTCTCTGCCGCAGGGGCAGGGGGCGTGTGTGTGGGAAGTGCTGGGTGCTGAGCAGAAGAGCACGGTGAGCAGGACCAGGCAGGGGGCTGCGCAGGGGCAGGCTGCAGTAATCAAAGTGGGCTCCGTCTCACTGGGGCAGGTGGGGAGAGGGAGCAGACCCACAGAAGGAACAGCTGGAGCCGTGGGCCAAGGTGGGTCTGCGCCTGGTGGGCTGGGAGCAGCAGGAAGCCAGATGAGGGGTCGGGGGAAGGTAGGAGGTGGGCCTGAGGGGGCGCTGCTTGGCATTTGCTGGCAGACATGTGGGACAGGTCCGGCAGAGGTGTTGGTGGTGGTGCTGGCTGCTGCTGGAGAAGAGAGGGTAGGGCCCAGGGCTGGGGAGCAGGGAGGAGACTGTGACTTCCAAGGCCGTCCCCATGGGCCATCTTATGGGGGACAGGATGATGTGGACATGCCACCCTGCGCTGACTCATCGCCTGAACCCCCCTATCCCCCTGTGTGCAGGTGTGGGGCCTCCTATGTGCAAGTGATGCGGACGGTGGGCATTCACCCCACCTGCGCCGAGGAGGTGGCCAAGCTGCGTATCTCCAAGCGCTCAGGCCTGGACCCCACTGTGACAGGCTGCTGAGGCTAAGCAGCCATCCCTGCCAGACCAAGGGCACGCGGCTCACCTGCAGCCCCCCACAGCCAGGTTCTTCGGAGGCTCAGGGCCAGGTACACAGCTGGGGTAGGCTCTGTGTTTAAGGATGGAACCGTGGGGGAAGGGGGGGTGCCACTGTGAACAACTCTCTCCAGGTACATGGGAGACCACACCTGCCGTGCCACCTCATGGGAGCCCTGTGCCCAGGCTGCAGGGGCTGAAGAAACGGGGCTGGGAAGGAGGCCATGTGAGGGCCCCCCCTCTCCACAGGGTACCCCCAGCCACTGGCCTGGCTGCCAGTGCTCCCCAGATGCAGGAAATGTCTTGAGGCTGGGCTCACACCACAGTGGCCTGTCCCGGGGGTGGAGGGGGGACACTGGGTGTGGAAACCATCCCCTGGCTGAGCTCAGTAGGCTGCTGGGTAGGAGGAGCAGGCCTCCGTCTCCAGCTTAGCTCCGTGCAGAGCAGTGCCGGCTCGTTTCTCTGTCGCCCAGAAGGTGGACACGCTGCCTTGTGCACGGCGGCTGCCCACACGTCTGGTTCTGTTAGAGCTTTGCAGAGTTAGGCTGGGCGGGCGGCCGGCGGAGGCTTCAGGTCTGTTCATCCCAACGCTCTTCTGCGGGGGGAAGAAGTTAGCGAGTCCCTCCCTGACCCCTGCCCAAAAGTTGCATGTCGTCAGGGCCTATTCAGCTGATCCTGTGAGAGCATTCTCCAAGCTTCAGCAGCCCAACCTGGGGGGTCCCTTGTGGCTGTCAGCCCCTGCCGGGGTTGGGGTCCTGAGGGCTGAAGTAGACTATAGACAGAGCAGTGAGCACCCCACAAGATGCCCTCAAGCAGGCCTGAGGGGCTGAATGGCAGGTAAGGGTCCCCTGGATTTGGGCACAGGCCTGGGGCTTCTCTTGGGGGCACCCTGGGCACCTGCTCTACTGCATCCCCCCAGCCAGGGCTGCCCAAGGGTATGAACAAACAGAGGGCATCCCAAGGAAACCCTTACCAGAATATCACAGCTAACAGAGCTGTTTTGTCAAGAGCCTGCTGTAAATTTTTATCCTTTCAAAATACTTGTTAATAGGGCGGCATGCGTTCCCTGAGACGCATCAGTCTGGTGAGGGCGGGGCTCTCTCTGGGGCCCGTTTCTCATCTGTCCCTAGAGAATCCTTGTGTGAGGGCATGGGAGACATGGCCTGGCAAATGCAGGGATGGCGGGACTACCCCATGCTGACCCCCCCATTCTTGTAGGACGCCGGAGGCTGAGCCCAGGCAAGCCTCACCCCCCCGTCTGGAGAGCCCCTGAGGTAGTCGGCGTGGGTGGCCTCTGGATGGAGTGCTCGCGTGCCCCCGCAGGGATGGCTCCAGGGGTCTTCAGCCCCTGCCCCTCGCACACCCTCCTGCCTGGGCCAGCCCCACCAGGCCCCTGATGCCAGAAGATGACGGTGTGCGCAGAAACCCACCCTGTGGGCTGCCCACATCCGAGCCCCCCTGGCGTTTCTGGAGCGTAAATAAAGAGGGTGTTTTCCTGATGTGTGCCTCCGCCTATGCTGTCCCCAGCGCGCTCCCCAGGATGGCCTGGGTCGGGGTGGGGCCTGGCCGCCCAGCCTGTCGCACACACTCCATTCCGCCTCCCCTCACAGCAGAGCCACCCCTCCCAGGACCCTCTGCTGGGTCTGTCTGCACCTCATGGCAAGGCAGGCACTCAGGAGGGGTGGGAAGCCACTGGCTTTGTTCCAGAGCAACCTGCCGGTGGGGTGGCCCAGTGACAGGAGTTGGCAGGGGTGTTGGAGGCTTTCCGTCCCCTGAACGTCAGGTACCTCATTACGCTTCCATTGCGGCCCTCCCAGCCAGCATGTCTGCTGTGCTCAGGCTAATCCTGCACATTGAGGCTTGATGGGCCGAGGGAGCGCCCTTCGGCACCCGGCCGCACCTGTCAGTCATTGCCACAGCCAGCGCTGACAGTGACGGGCAGGGCCCTGCATTGTGCTGGGGCTTTAGCGGTGGTTAATCTCGTGTCTTCCTTAAGAAAACATCACTTAGTCTGCCCGCCCGGGAGCCCTGGATGGGACCCTGCTTGTCAGCGAACAAAGGAATGTCTTTGCACCTAATGGGCCTACGGGAGCCTCAGACACTCGCTTGCCTGGTGTGAAGCGTGTGCAGGAGCTCCGAGACGCCCAATTAAGACGCCGAGTGCAGGGCTGGGCCAGCGCCCTCTTGACAAGTACAGCACCACATCAGCCGTGTCCCATTTAACGCACGGTTGGCGGCGCGCCCCTGCCTTGGAAGGTGCAGGGAGGGCTCCCCTCTCTGCTGGGGGTGAGGTGTTCCCCTGCCTTGCAGGCAGAGGGTATGGTCTGCAGAGGTCAGCTAACACAGCTGAGCTGATGGGGGGTGGCCGGAGAGGCCCCCTGGAGCTGGCCTGGGCCCCTGCCATGGGGCAAACAAGGAACTTGAAGTGGTTCTGTTGCTTTTTGTGATGGTAGAAACGATGCAGTCTGTGAGGGAGCTCACAGCATCAGGCAGCGTCTGGGGCAAGGACTTTCCACCTCCCTGCCCACCCCACCGGACAGCCAGAGTGCCAGCCCCATGTCCATGACCCCATAACCACCTACCCCCAGTGGTTTTCTCTGTGCACCATCTCCCTCGGGGCGGCCCTTGCTCTAGCACGCCTGCTGAGTCTGTAACGACCACTCCTGCGCGGGGACTCACGCCTTCCCGGCCTGCTGCACAAACAGCGGGCATTCCCAGAGAAGGCCTGCCACAGAAGGCCCAGCGCTGGCAACGGTCATCACCTGGGCCACCTCTGGGGCCATACGCTGCGTCAGCCTATGCCTGCCTGGCCATGTGGTTCCGCACCCAGGATGTCCCACATGCCCCCACTGCTCTGGTGGAGCCCTGGGGTGACAGCCCGGGGTCCCCTGCCCAGCACTCAGGCAGGTCATGCACTGGGGTCTCAAGTCTGAGTAAGAGCATGGGGAGCGGGGCAGACGTGTTGGGCCACAGTGGTTTCTGTTCTGCGTGTCCCAGGGACCACCCAGGTCCAGACTCACTGTGTGGCCCAAGGCCCCCTCACTGGGCCCACCTCTGCCCTGTCCCCCTCCTCCCAAGGAGCTCAGGGAGGGACCAGAGCAGCACCAGCCAGGTGCTCTCCACCTGGCTCCAGGGCTACCTTCCTGCCACCTTTGCATGTTTTTATGGCGCAATGAAAATATGATTTTAGAGCATCTGGGTGGCTCAGTTGTTAAGCGTCTGCCTTCAGCTCCGGTCATGATCTCAGGGTCCTGGGATTGAGCCCTGCATCGGGCTCCTTGCTTGGCGGGGTGTCTGCTTCTCCCTTTCCCTCTACCTCTGCCCTTGCTCATGCTCTCTCTCTGTCTCAAATGAATATAAATAAAATCTTTAAAAAAATATTTTAATTCCTCAGATTGTTCCATGTAACCTGTAATCACCCCGGCAATGTCCCGCACGCTTCTGCTTATGACTCCAGATTTCACAATGACGTTGGCTGGGACGGGGGAGTGGTGCTGCTCAGGGGCCATGCTACCCCGATCCCTTGCCTCCGCCTCTGCTGCAAAGCAGGGCAGGTCACCCTGTGGTCACCCACCACCCCTCTCCTTCTCCTAGCCCCGTGAGGCACTGTCTCTAAAGGTCCTGAAGCCCCAAGGAAGGTGAGTATACAGGGAAGGGGTGAGAAGTTACTATGGAGGGCTGGACCCGGACCAGCAGGGCTCAGCCAGCGAGGAGCAGGCTGGGCCTGAGGAGGACATCTGGGACTGATGGTGGGGCTGCAAGAGGGGGCATCAGCCCACAGGTCGCTGGTGCCTGCTTCCCCCCCGCCCCATACCCCACAGCCCTGCTGGGACCACCAGCTTTGCTGGGTAGCCAGTGGGGAAGTGACCACTGTGCCCAGCCAGGGCCCCTCACAAGGGGAGTTGCCCCATGAAAAACAGCTTGGCGTCAGGTGGCGCCTGCAGTTCAGGGTGTCAGTGCCTGTGGCCTCAGGTCTGGGCCCTGGACCAGTCCCCAGCCTGAAGCAGGCCCCAGGGGCAGGACTGAGACCCTCATCCCTGGCTCCCCGCTGCATACAGAGTTGTCAGGAGCTGCCACAGAGCAGGCGGTCCAGGACCGTGTAAAACAGGACGCCCGAGTCAGCCAGACAGCGTGCTCATCGGGAGCTGTGCCATCTCCAGAGACTTAGGGGCCACCAGGCCATGTCACTGGGCCCTCCAGACCTTGTTCAGGCCCCAGGCGCCTGGCCCATTCTGGTCAGGGGGCTCCCTTGCAGCGTGGGCTCATAGCATTCACGGGAAGCACAGACGTGGGCATCTAGCTCTTCTAAGTCCGTCACGAGAGGCTCCTCGGTGCGGGGCTGATGGTCGGGGGCCGGGCCAGGGTGGGAGCCGTGCTGCCAGGGCCCATTCCTGTCTCCCCAAGCTGGCACACCCAGATCCAGCCAAGTCTCCCGGGTCCCAGACTTTTCCCACCCATCTCTGTCTCCCTCTGGGAGCCACTCCATCCCTCTCCACTCTGGGGTCCCTGAGTGCCCCTGGCCCGGGCCATGGCCTCGTCCTGCACAGCCTGACCAAGCCTGCCCTGGCCTCCACCCACCCACCTTCTTCCTTGTCAGTGCCCACTGCTCCCATCCTTGGGTCCTGGTCAGGGTGTACACAGGGGACATTGTGGGCTGGTCACTGCCAGAGACAGGTCAGGAGCATGGCCCCCATTCCCCAGGTGAGCAAGCAGCAGTAGGGTGTTCTCTGTCTGAACCAATTTTTGACCCAGATGGTGAGGGTGCTTGCATGCTTGGCCATATCTGGGGCCTAAGCTGGGCCTGGCTCCTGGGGGCGGGGGGGGTGGGGCGCCCAGCCTCAGAGGAAGATGCTTGCTTCTGGCCCCAGACTCACAGGCTGTGGATCTTCGGCCTGACGTGGGGCCGTGGCTTTTTCCTCACCTCAGGCCAGGGCAGAGACAAGAACCAGGGACAGGGCAGGGGATATAGTCATCCCAGCACAGGACCAGGTGTCCCTCCAGTGGAGCCACCTCAGGCCTGAGCCCTGCCAGCCTTCCGCCTCACACCACTAGGGACCCACTGCCCGTCCACCCGGGGCCCTGACCCCTGTGCCTTTGTCTCCCCTTCAGCCAACAGGCCACCTGGTGTGAGAGCTGGCTGACTCTCCCGCTCCCGCTCCAGGGTCTGCCGCCGAGCCCCAAGCCGCAGCCCCAAGCCCTCTTGGTGGGGTCACCAGCACAAAAGAGCTCTGAGGACTCCGGGCTGAGAAAGAGGACCTTGGAGCCTGTGGGCTGGCGGTCTGCTTCTGCCTCCCCCTTTCCCTTCCCCTCGGTGCCCTCCCCCCGGCCCTCCCCGTGGCCCCCTCCTCATCAGTTTCCCTTGGTGCCGGTACCAGCACCTGCCTCGTAGAGAAAGCCCAGAGCCAGACGACGGGCCTCGTGGGGGCCTTTATGCCCCACCCTCGTTTCTTCCTTACTCGGCCACCATCTTAGGCCTGGGCTTTCTTGCTGGGTACTGAGTGGTCCTGGGAGCTGCCTTAGGCCTTCCTATGCCAGGCAGGTGCATCCATAAACAGAGATACGCCTTGGATGCCTCCCTCCTGGAGCAGGGCGGGGTCCACAGGGGGTGGCACGGGACGCGGGCTCTGCCCACCTTGGGCCGCTCTGTGCGCCCAGACCTCGGGACATGCTTGACCCTCCGCATGAGTGGCTTCTCTGCTGGGCTTTTTCACAGGGGTGTGTGTATGTGGGGGCGGGGGGGTCCTTCCCCAAAGTTGTGCACACACCAGCTCTGTGCTGCTCACCACCCAGGCCGGCGTCCCAGCTCCAAAAGGGCTGGACCTTGGGGGGGAGCCATGCTGCCAGGGGCCCCCCCTCAGACAAGCCGGTGAAGGAGGGAGGTGCACAGGGGCCTTTGGGGCAGGTCCAGCCACAGACTGTGGAGATCTCGAGGCAAGAACCGTGGCAATCGATAATTGGGAGACTGAAAGAGACGTCAGTTCGCGTGTACAGGCCGGGTCACATCTGTGAGTGTGGAGGGGCCGGTGCCCGTCCCCCCCCGACCCCCCACCGTGGATGGATTCCCATGCCCAGCACTCCTTGGGCCGCACCTCAGCCAGCAGGGCCTGCCTCCCTGCCCCGCCGAGATGGCTGTCACCACTTCCTGTTTGCAGACCCCGCCGCGACTGGGAAAGTTCGCCAAAGGCCAAGGACGCGCAGCAGACACCCTAGCTCCCTCCGGCCGCAGACAGCACCCACCTCAGGCTCGCAACGCGATGTTCCGGGAACGGGAGTGACAATAGGTGTGCCAGGGCCCGCCAGGAGGCCATACCTGCTCTGGATCTCTGGGGCGGCGCTGGGAGTGAGGAGACAGGACTTTGGGACTGTTTTGCAGATGCTGCTTCTTGCAATGCCCTGCAGAACCCCTCTGAGCAGGACTGACCCGCCACGCTGTCTTCCCTGTCCCACTCCTCCCCCACCCGGCGGCCCTTGCTGCACAGCGCAGCCCCTTGTGGGCTCT